TGGGTCAGCCCTCTCTTCAGAATATGGTATTCCAGCCAAGACAGACTGCTTTTCCTCAAGAGGCCAGATGGAGAGGCCATTTTCCTGACTGTGATCCCTCAATTCCTATAGGGACCCCCTGGGCCGGTGCTCTTTCCGCCAGGATCTAAAGTCCCTTCCCAGTCATCCTCCATCTTACACTTGCTGTGATTCTCTATTCCGTCCACTTGGCTTCGGTTCTAGTGAAACTACCTCGATGTGGGCGTGACTACAGTCCTTTAACATGTCAGTTCTTGAACCAAATAGCGAGATGCTGAATCAAAGACAAGAAGCAATTACCATTGGGACCTCAGCCTGTGGTTGTGGGGACAAAATCAGTCACATGCCCTTGAGTGGGAAAGGTGTTCTTTGCAGCCCCATTTCCCCTTTCCATCAAAGGCCATAACTGGAGAATCAGCATAGTCTAGACCAATGGCCAGTGGAGGTGGCCTTTGGGGTTCCTGGACATAGCCTTGAGGTGCTACTTTTCTATAGCAGGGTGTTTCTAACTTGTTGGTCAGTGACTCCAGTGGTCATACTGGTTGGGGGATTCTGGAGCTGTCCTCCAGAAAGCAGACCTATAAAGCATGGTCCTTGTCCTGGAGGAGGAGGACCAGCTATGGGTCATTGCCAGGGCACCCTATTTCCACTACGGGCCTTGTTATGAGCAACAGCAATGTCTGGCATTTATGTCAGACTTTTGTCACCCTCCAGGCATTGCACATATGTACATTGTTTGGTTGCTCCTTAAGAAGAGGGAGAGAGGGTCCCACTAGCCTTCCAGGTGATGGAATGCAATTCCCACCATTCCTCAACTTGGCTAAAGCTGATGGGACTGCCCTGTGAGCAAGGGTACACTGGAATACCTCTTCAACCCTTCCCTCAGAACTAGGATCAAGGTGCCTCTGGTCTCCTGGGCCTGGAAATCACACCGTTCTGCAGAAGCGCTCAGCAAAGCAGGCCTGCCTGTGCCACTGTAGGTCTTATTTTTCCCCCTGCTGGTTGTTTCACTACTGTGTATGGCTTTGCACAACATCCTGATTTCAGTGGAGGGAAGAAGGAAATGGAGGTAGGGGGAGCTGCCAAATCCTGTCAGCACTAGGCATCCCACACCCCTAGGGAAAAGAGGCCATATAAGGATCATAGCACTCAAGAGACCTTCACTTCTGCCATATTGAGTCAGCTTACATGCTGGAACTCTTTGGGGACACACACAGTGCACCTGCTCTCTTGCTGGAATGACACAGACAGAGCCCCACTGTGAGACCAAGACCAGAAGTTACCTCAAGAAGTGGAGGTAAGGTGCCATGAAGGGCAGAGGTGTGGAAGGCAGAGGTGGGACACAATACACAACCCACTGAAAAAGTCTGCTGAAGCCTCCTGGAAAGGATAGGCCCTGGGTGTAAAACCAAAATTAAATGCAGATGAGTTGCAGGAATGTCTCCTGGAAGAGACAGTAGCCATTGCCTTTGTATAAGTGACCCTGGAAACGGTTGTTTGTAGCAAGGGGTGGGTGGGGATTGTTAAAACACTTTTTGGTAGCTTCAGAATGCAGAATGATTTGTGGAGAGGGGAAGATGATGAAAAAGCAGCAAATGTCCAGTTTTGCTGCAAAACTGGACATTTGGCCGGGCAGAAATATTCTCCAAGACCAGCAGTGCTGATGTCTGTTCTGCACCTCGGAGGAGGAGAGCCCAGCTTTTTCCTGTCCTGCATTAAATTTGAATTTGTTGTCTGCTGAATACCAGGTAGCCCTTTGTTTGGTGATTTGGGAGAAGTAATCTAACCAATGGCTGCCAGGGGTGGGATTTGATACTTACTGTACATTCCTGAATATTTACATTTGCAGCCTGAAGTTTGGAACTCAGGGACTGATCACACAGACTATTTGAATCGTTACTTTTTCCTCCTTTTTTAGTATCGATATATTTATATGTATGTGGTGGCGCTGTGGGCTAAACCACAGAAGCCTGTACTGCAGGGTCAGAAGACCAAGCAGTCGTAAGATCAAATCCACGCAACGGAGTGAGCGCCCGTCGCTTGTCCCAGCTCCCGCCAACCTAGCGGTTCAAAAGCATGCAAATGCGAGTAGATTAATAGGGACCACCCCGGTGGGAAGGTAACAGCGTTCCGTGTCTACAGTAAGTCGCACTGGCCATGTGACCACGGAAGATTGTCTTTGGACAAAAACGCTGGCTCTATGGCTTGGAAACGGGGATGAGCACCGCCCCCTAGAGTCGAACACGACTGGACAAAAATTGTCAAGGGGAACCTTTACCTTTTACCTTATGTGATATATATACCGGTGGGGCTGTTAACATGACTGTCAGTTCAATCGGTACATTTCTTGCTATTTGTACTGATTCTTTAAGCTACACATGCCATTCATATAAATTAATTACTGTATATGAATGGCATATGTAGCTTACAGAACATTTTTTGTCCTATTTCTGGTCCCCGCTGCCCCAAAATTTTCTTTTAAAAAAACTCTAATGTGATATATCACTATTTTCCTGTCACTTCCAACTGTTAGCTGATGCACAGCCTAGTGGTATATGTCACTTGCAGCCCTTTCTCCCTTCTTTTTTAAAATTTTCATTTCCCAATTCCTTTCTTCACTTTCTGCTTTTCTCCTCCCCCTTTTCCTTCCCTCCTTTACTCACTCATCCCCTTTTCCTTATTTTCTTGCATATCTCTCCCCCTCAGTTCTTGGCTTTCTTTTCTTTTCCCCTTGGAACAACATTGGGAGGAGGAAGTGGATTTTAAAAGTCTTGCAAAGTATTGTGAAGAGAGAGAGAAAAATTAATGTGATGTCCCTTTTTTTCTCCTCTCAAACAATTCTAAACAGGAAATGGCCTTTCTCTGCTCAAGCCCTCTTTCCCCTTTCTTTCCTTACACCTGCAGAGGGGAAGACTGTCTCTGTCTGAGCAATATATTAGTGGTGTTGCTGCTGCTACTGCTACTGCAAGTGATGTATCAATATATCTTAATTAAAAAAAAGATACAAGGGGCCATGAAGTAGCTACAGTGTCCAAAAACCCAACTCATTCACAAAGTGGATAAATTGACAGCAACATTCACATGCACTGAAATGATAAGGAATAATGTGATATATAATTGGTACATTTTAAAACAACCATGCTGGCGAGTTGGAAAAAACAATTAACTGGCCCAATCAATTGTTATTTGTGTATTATGTGGACAAAAATTCATTCATTCATTCATTCATTCATTCATTCATTCATTCATTCATTCATTCATTCATTCATTCATTCTTTCCTATCCTGCTCCTTAAAAAGCACCCAAGGTGGCTTACATAAATAAAAAAGATGATATTTAAAAACTAAAACAGTAAGTATACAAATATTTAAATGTTTAAGACAAAATTAAACAAGTATCATATTAAAAACAGTAAGCAAAATCAATACTTAAACAGGTTTAAAAGAACCATTTTAACAAAGCACAACAATCCATTTAAATTTGTAGAATGATTTAAATAAGAGTAGAATTGATATAACTGGGGTTCTTTTGGCACATGTGAGCAAGCAGACTAACAACCCTCGAATAAACGGGGATTGAGTTCTGGGAGTGTTTGTTAGCGGCCGGCCAGGTTCCTGCTAGCCTTAAGATCCCTCTCTCTTGGTATGAGTGGAGGAGAAAAGAAAAGAAAAAGTCCTGCAGAAACTTTGGACAGGTTTACATTCAATTTGGCTACTCTGTAGTGGACACCACTATTGAGTGTTCTGGGTCCTCCAGGAGAATATTGATCCCAAGTGGATGGATACTCTGTGCTTTTCACCTTACATTGGGGAAATGCATGCTTGTTCATAAACATATCCACTAAGAACTGCCAGCCAATTCATGGATACCCACACGAGCGCACACAGGTATGCACATACCCATCCGCACAATTTTGTAACCCACTGGCTGAAATCCGGTAGTATGTTGCAACTAGAGTAGGTCTATTGAATCAGTGGGGATTTGGTGAATCAGCTCCTCCATAAGTTCAACTGATTCAAGTGACCCTTCTCTAGTAGTAACTTACTATTGGATTTCAGTCTCCCATTACACTGCTGAAAACTCCTCAGGGCTTGTCCAAACATTAGTGTTGTTTCTGGTCGTTCGGGGGTTGTTATGGATCATTCTCCATGTTATGGATCCTGAAGCTGAGGCTCCAGTACTTTGGCCATCTTATGAGAAGAGAAGACTCCTTGGAAAAGACCTTGATGTTAGGAAAGTGTGACGGCAAGAGGAGAAGGGGACGACAGAGGATGAGATGGCTGGACAGTGTCTGCGAAGCAACCAACATGAATTTGACCCAACTCCGGGAAGCAGTGGAAGATAGGAGGGCCTGGTGTGCTCTGGTCCATGGGGTCACGAAGAGTCGGACACGACTAAACGACTAAACGAACGAACGAAGGATCATTCTGATATTTCCCCCCCTGCAGATTTAAATAGATTGTCCACGTATTTGTGTCCATAGCTGGGGAGGGTATTTGTTTCCAGATGTATGAGATGTGCTAGTTTATCCTGGTACTGCCTGTTCACACATCTGTTTTTGCTCCCTGATGTCTCACACTCTTAACACAGATTGCTCTCCCCTTTTCTCTATCTTGTCTGGTTTTCTCCTACCTGTTTCGTTCTTGCTTCCTTGGGAGGGCAATGACCGTGGGCCTTCCAGACTCCCCTAAGAGGTGCAGGAGGCCAACAGCTTCCACTTGTGAAAAATGAAAGCCATCCAATCACAGTCTTAGAGGAGTCGTCCCTTTGCTTCCTTTGGTTCTGAAAAGAAAGAGTTAAAGACCTTCTTCTCTCCCGGGGGAACTCTGTGCATTCTCCTCCCTCTTTGCAGGTCGAGAGAGAGTTACCGAGAAGCAAAGTCTCAGAACCCTCAGGTGCAGGGCAAGGGGGGAAAGTACAGCTCTGGGCCGCACTTATGGATATTTGGTAAGGAGCTGCCCCCCCCCCC